CTGGGTTTCGCTTGGATGTGTTTCAGGCTGAGAGATTCGACTCATAATTGTAGTTCTGGCTGAATATTTTCATTCTACATGATGTGAAATATCAAAAATGTACGGATACTTGTGAAAAAAACCAAAACTGAGATTTTCTTTTCATTATTTTATATGCATAAACAAAAAAAATTGAGTTTCTCTTCTTCATCTAAGAAAAAAAGAACCTTAAGAAACGATTTAAGAACTCATACTAGTAGTCTCTAATAACCCAAGCATATAAATCTAGTAAGGAATTTGATTCAGGGTATATGCAGCAGACAAGAAGCCAATTACATATATCATAAATAAGCAAAATGCATTCAAAATCACACCCAACATACTGTAAACATAATGTGCTGAAGAACAAAAGCTTGTTCACTCTTTGAATTACTATAAAAAGGACATAAGATACGAAAGAAAACAATCGGATTGCAAGTACTACTTAGGAACTCCATGATCAGAAGGACGGGATAAAGATTGCCAACCGGTACAAATTTTGATGATTTGCTTGAGAGTTTCTGTTGGTGGCTCTACGGTCCATGTCGGGTAGTGTTCGCTTGGATGAAACACACATTCTTCACCGGCTCCTGTCAACATGGAAGGTTGAGCTCCATTTAAGAACAAGTCATTTTCAGATCGTACTAATCCAGCTCTCAGTTCTTCCTTGTCAGCAGCCTACAAACAAATTCACACAAGATGATCATGGTGGATTCACAAGAAGAACAAGATTTTCTCTGATGCGAGATGAAGAAGCAAGTGAAAAGAGTCAACCTTTTCTGGGTAGTATTCAAAAGTTTTCTTCTTCGCTCCCGCTTCATATATATTGCATTGAGAGAATACCTGATTTCAGTAACATAATTATCCACACTTCAGATCTATATAAGTGAATTTATGGTCTAAGTGATGATCTAAGATATGCAATTGGTTTTCTATAAAAGAGTTTACCTGCGCTTCTACGCTAGCACAGACAGCGTATATTCCCCAGTTTCTTGTGTAGTTGTTGTACAAATGAACTTTTCCAAATCTGAGACGAGGTTGCCTCTGCCTCGTTCCATCGAAGAAACAATGGTGAATGGTCACTCGGATGCATCTATCATCAACATGAGAAGGATCCGCTCCAATCAGCATTGTCTTGTCATGCTGTGCAAAATAACATCTGTAAACCAAAGAAAGCACGAAACTGAGCAGCAGACAAAGAGCACCACATAACATAAGCTTGAACAATCCAAGAACCCATCAAGCTCACCTAGAAACGGTGATATCCGTGCTCTGTCTAGTAATATCGATAAGGCCATCATCGTAATCGCGCAAGCTACACCGATCAATCCATATATGTCTAGACTTTGGTTTAATCTGAATACCATCAACATCATGACCTCTACCACCTTCAAACTCCAGATTACAAATGATAATATGTTCACATTCCTTCAATCTAATTCCTTTCCCAGTGATCTTAATCCTGTGTCCTCTTCCATCGACCGTCTTGTAAGACGATACACTCAAGTATGAATTGAGATTTATAGTTCCAGAAACAGCAAAAACAATCCATAATGGCTCTTTCCTCCTACCTCCTTCGCGTAGAGTCCCAGGTCCATCATCTAAAAAAGCATCACAATCAAATTAAATAAAATCATCTAAAGATCTCTCTAAGATATAAACATCACAAACAGAGAAATCAATTCAAAAAGAGAAATTAAAGCTCTCGAATCATCCATCAATTTCGTTGGAGATTTCCAGTATAAGATTCGTCGGTGAAGAAGCATCGACATAAAGCCATTTTTATAGAGAGATTAGTGTGTATTTGCGAATGCATCACCTGCAAGAGAAGTGACAACGTAGAGATCGCCGTGAAGACCACCGACGGCGAATCGGCCGAAGCCCTCGGCACGGCCGGCTAGAGACCTGAGGCTGCAATCGACGTCGGCGTAAGGTAGCGTAGTCATCGTTTGTTGTTATGCGACGTCGTCTCTCTTGTTGAGTTTCGCGAGAAAGGTAGAGAAAGACAAGAGTGTAGATTTTGATTGATTCTCTCTAGATTGGTGATTCGGTTTACAAAAAGGTTATGGGAACCGGTTTGGACAAAAAAAAAATGGAAACCGGAAGAAAAATAGAAAACACTATTAAGAGCATCTTCATTGGGGTCTTTTATTAAGCAAAAAAATTAAAACTAAAATAAATATAATCTCATTTATTTAGATTTCATGGCCTCTAAAAGACCTCCACATCAGCATAAATAATATGAAAAATAATCAGCCAATAGAAATGCATAATTAATGACATGTCACCTATGTTTTTGGAAAATTTTACGAAGCTGAATCGTTTTTTCTCCATTCTTATCCTAATTAAACCCTATAATAAACTCTCCGTTTACACAAATCTTTCTACTAACCAAACTCAATCTAATGATACATACTCGGTTCTTCTTTCCTTTTCTCCTTCACGAAGAAAACAGAGATTCAATATATTTTTTTACCTGCAGTTCTAATACGTCGAGGCACTTTCACCCAAATCAAATCATTGCTAAGAAAAAAATCCAGAGAATAATTACATGTCATCACAAGGTTGAAACATCGGTGAAGATTGCGTCATGAAATGTTTAAGGCCACTTATCCATGGATGAAAAGCATAAGATAGACGATCGGATGGAAAATCACTGATATCAAAATAGACGAAGGTAACTAAAAACCAGAGAACCAAGCGAAGCTGTTGTGTTAGAATTTTCGGACGACTAATCCAGGTATAAGCACTATGTTCGTTCGAAAGTTAGATTTTAAATTACCTCTATGCAAATAGGGGTCTCGACTTTCTTCTATCTGCAGCCATGATCGAGACATGATCATTGATGTGAAACATTTCTGTAGGAGAACCTCTCTGCTTCTAATTATCTAATGGTAAGTTACTTTTCTCTTTATGTAGTAATTAAGGATAGATTTTAAAAAGTTTGTGACTATGTTTGCGTATATATGATGCATACAATCATGAATTAGCTTAGGACTATATATTTGTCTTATTTCATGGGCTAAGGTTGATGGTGCCGATATTTGTTTTTATCTACGTGCAGAATTGTCTTAATCACAAAGATATATAGAAGACAAAATGTGCGATTAATATCAGGTACATACACTATCCATTTGCATGTCTTAATTTCTCTTGATTATCATTTAAAAGTTTGAAGGTAATATATATGATCCCTCGATAGGATTTTGTGTCCATAACCACAAAACCATCATTTCTATATACCGTTGTGATTGGTATTTCGGAACTTCAGATACAAATTTCCATGCTAAATTGTTATGTACCAAATTCAAATTTTAACTGAGATAGATTATCAGTGAACAATTTAGGATTTCAAACTATTCTCCACTTTGTATCCACTACATATACTTTGCTTTAATAGGTCAATTGTTACTTTATAATTCCCCTGTTATTAGACTAATTATTTGCTTTAACAATATAGAATATGGTCCACCAAAGAGGATTGGGGAGATGGAATAATTGTTTTCTTTAGCATGATTTCAATAGTTAATTGGTTTAGTTACGTACTCAATTATTCACTAAGTGCTTCCTTGGTAGCATTGCTAATAAGAACACACATGTGAAGGCAACTTGAGCTATTAGTGGGTTTCCTCAGAGGATAATATTGTCACGACTGTAGTATTTACTGTAAAAGCTCACTCGCATATATCTATGTGCAGAAGGTGATCCTCAGTTAAAATCAAGAATTGGCTCGGGTAAGAAGCAAGATGATTCTCAAACAAAGTGACCTTCAATAAGACTTGCAATCTTTGAAGAAGAAAGTGAGGAATGCATAATCTGCTTGCAACTTCTTAAGCAAAGAGAAGATATCAACGACCTATCATGCAACCACAAGTACGACGACAAATGCATTGTGCAATGGATCCAAATCAAGAAAGGATTACCGATATGAGGGAAACTAAGCTTTGAAGTCTATCTTTCAATATACTAATTGCAATATCATTTCCTTTCTTTCTTTTGACCAGAAGAAAATTATTGGTTCGATAGTAATTAAGTTCAACCATAATTAAAAATTGGCTCTATTTATTTGACCACTGGAATCACACTAAAACTTTCCATTTCAATATATGGAACATATTACAAACATAGAAGAAATAAAATTAAGAAACTAGCAAACCAAAGTCACTGGAAATACATGGATTACAAACATTCAAAAGCTTCTCATATGAACTGAATCGCTTGCATTAAAACCTCAATTACAAGAATCCCCAAAACATAGAACTCATAGTCAAAAATTATTGAACATTGATACTCTAAAAATAATGAAGATGAAAAAAATACTTGGAGACTTATCACTAACTTATGAATCCCATGATCGAGTTCTTCAAGTTTTTTTTAATCCAAAGATGAATGTTCTTAAATCAAAACCGAACACAAACATAATTCCACCACAAAAACTCAAAACCATCCCTTAACTTAAGCACAAACAAAACATCTCTGTAGTGATAGCAAAACTATCCATACCCAAACAATGTATACATAACCAAAACAAGAAAACTGAATCCCTATATGAACAGTAACAGACAAATTAGTTCCTAAGAAATAATGAACCAAAGCAAATCGGATTACTCAAAAGTAAGAAAAACAAAATCAATATAATCAAAGGTCAATAGCAACACACATACAAACTATTTCAAAGCAAAGACTCCATCCACCGACATCGACGACAAAAAAGAAAAATTTGTCGATGCCAACAG